GTTTATATTTGTGTACATAAATTATAAACCTCCCCATTTTAAGTTAAATGTGTTTGGGTTTGTTTTTTTTTCCTCCCACCTTCTCTTTCATCTCAGTCCTACATGCCCAAGAGAATTTCTTACTTCTCTCTACCAGCTTCATCATTATTCTTTCTTTCTGTGTCATGGGCTGTATTGGTAAGGTTAGGGAGCCAAATGCCATGCTTTTCTTGCAGCTTTTTTTCACCTGTGAATGCCCTACCTTTTACCTAGGCTAAAGACTGCAGTAACTACCTCCTCCAGCACAGCTCCTCCCTGGTTGTAGGACCGATAGCCAATTAAACTCCTGCTGTACAAAAACACTCTTGCAGGTACTTTGGCTTCAGAAAGACTCCGGCCCTCCACCCCTGTCCCTTCTTAAAACGGGAGCGCTGAGACACCTCCATTGCTTCCCCCTAGACAGTCGGGCCTTTGTGCCCTGAGCAGGTTGCTGTGGAAACCCCCAATTTCCTCTCTGGCTGGGGCTGGCTATGGGGCTTCTCAGGAGTATCGTAGAGCAGCTCTCATCAAATCACCTATTGTTTCCCTGCTCCTGCTGCTTATCAGAAGTGGGGATCCCCTTTCAGTGGCACTGCCCCAGCCGGAAGAAGCGCAGTCGCCACTTACTGTCCCACCAGCTCGGCAGTTGTAGGTTGTCGCTGCGCTTGTTACTCGTACAGCTGTTCTCTGACATGCGGTGGAACTGATGGTGCTGGGGGTGTGGGTGCTCTCCAGCCATCTCAGTTGTACGTACTCTGGTGATTCTTATGGTGGCACAACAGTAGTTAAATCCTAGAGTCCTGTAATCTGTAGCGTGATGAAAGATCAGTCATTTGTCCCCTTCAGCTACCTGCACTCTCACCTCAGATGCGCGGGGAGGTTACATGCTCAAGTCAGGAGTTGGGGGGATGCATTACAATCTGCAAGGGCTTCCAGCTAGCCACTACCAAGTTTTCATTTCTTGATCTGTGTGCTCCAAGGTTCTTGCTCTGTATGAGGAAGATCTGAGCTTTTGGGCAGAACACACCGAGTCTTTCTCAATTATGTTATTAAAAAGTGCTCTCGGAATTTTTATTGTCTTTTTTCTGAAGAAAAGAAGGGGGAAGGTGCACCTAACCTGTGGGTTCTGCTTTACGTTAATTTTTCTCTTTACACTAAGTCCAGGAAGAGTATTTCTAACTAGTTTGTGTTAAAGCTCGTGCTTATATATAAAGTGTGCATTCCCCATGCTGTATGTGTGGTCGGTGCCTGCACATGAGCATCCATGTCCCAAAGGGAGTTTATATCCACCTGCCTGAGAACTCGGCTCATATAACCAACCATGAATGTCATTCTCTTACTGCTCCCTGTAAAAGCACCGGTCCATCCTTCCTCTGTTGGTGTGTACAGGAGGGGCTGGTTTTGGAGGTGATAATGCAAGAGCTGAATGGGGTCGCTGGGCGAAATGACAGGTCAAAGGGAATGTGGAGGCACTTGCAGGTGTGGGAAGGGGGTTGACTGTGAGGAACACAAACGCTTCCTGGTCCAGGCCATCCTTACTAAGAAAAGGTTAATTTGCAGCACTGTGGCCTTCAGCCTTCTCCCCCCACCCTCCATGGAATCCTTTAATCACGTTGGTGCGGTGAAATTTCAGCCCTGAAATGGTGCCTTTGTGCAATCGTTTTGGCGTCCGCCATGGAGGCGGGGGTCGTTTTCTTGTCCTTTTTTTTTTATTTTTTTAAATGGCTTCTTTGTTCCCTACCCGCCTCCCCTCCCCAGCCTTGCATCTGTATCAGATACGATTAAAGGGATAGGGAAGGATGCCGGGCCAGCTCCTGCTAGGCTGCAGGACGAGTGGTTAACCCCTCTGTTACCAGCGACATTCTCAGTCCTGTCTCTGTTGTGAGGACCCTCCTAGATGAGAGGAGGCATCCCCTTCCCCTAGAGAATGGTTGAGGCAGAGCCCACTCACTTTCTTAATTTGCTTTTTGAAGAGCTGGAGAAGGGTAGTTGTGTGTGGTTAAGAACTTTCTTCTCCCGCTCTTCTGTTCGCCCGCACCATGTCCCTTCTCTCTTCCACCCCTGTGATCAGCTCTCCTACCCCTAACTCCACCATGGCTTCCCTTCTTCCCCACACACGCTCCTGAGCTGCTCAGCAGTGCATAGTTCCCTTCTGGACTCTTCCCACAGCCTGTAATTTGGGGTAGTGATTCTCCTCCTCTCCAGTGAATGACCACAGTGCTACTTTGCATGGAGCTCTTCAGCTGGCATCACCACTGTTAGATCCATTAAGCCATTCTGCTGATGATGCTCTTGGCCCTATACCGGACTTCATCCAAATAGTGCTGTGAGTTTTAAAAAGCTTTGAACGTGTTCCACAGTTCCTAGACATCCTGCTTATGCTACTCACCCATAAAGCGTTTGGTGAACACAAACTCACTGGATCGATCACATGCATCAGCCTTGAAACCCTGTGGAATCAATTTGTAATTGTTGTGGAGTCTCTGTGTTAACTGGGATCCTACCTTGCTAGCATTGGCCTTGAGAGATGTTCTTAAGCAGACCGATACCTGCTGTACATCTTCTTTCCAAACATCTTGAGATAGCCTCCCAGGACCTGACTGCACCCAGGATGTCTTCTTCAACAAGTAAGAAGGTGTATACATCTATTCTCGAATATACTGTCTGTGTGTGAGTGTTTGTATTTAGGTTCTTGCTTGTGGAAAGCAAGAGGTCCGGGGGGGGAGAGTTTCTACAGAGAGACTAATGGTTGCTTCCAAAATATGTAAGTTTGTGTATGTGGGGAAGTTTTTTTTTGAAGGTACATCATCTGCCACCTGGTGATGAGGAACCAAGACTAGAAACCCCACGTTCCTATTCTGGAGAGCATTAACAATCACACTAAGAAATTCTTGGGTGAAGCACGTGCAAAATGGTGCTCTTAATTGCACATGCTGAATCTTAGCTGGAGGACAGAAGTCAGTGTTACTACATTTCTTGCTGAAGAAATGACTGCAGCTGGGGTGGGAACAGAAGATGAGTTTCATCTCTGTGAAGGAGTCAGGTAAGCCAGTCAGAGTTCTGCCTGTGTCCTGTTCATGACAGGCAGAGGAAGGCTGTGCACGGGATCTGTGTGGTGGTGGTGTGACCCATCATACACTTCCTGGGGGAAAAAAAACAGAGACTTGCAGGAAAGAGGTCAAAAAAACCCAGACACATGAAAATGAAACTTTTAAGTTTATTATTCCATATGTTTAATGCAGAGTTAATGGTGCTAGGACAGCATAGAGACTGGGGAAAGGGAGGTGGGGGCGGAAGGTGCTACTTGCATAAATAAGGGGACAGGGCTGGAAGAGGTTACATGCGTACACGGAGCAAACATTCTACATGGTCTTTTCGGACACCACAAGGATAAGTCATCCATAGCTAAGGGAGGCAGGAAGGGCATCTGACAGTCGTATCAGCAGAGGGATACAGCGGCACCGATCAAGTCCATGTTTGGTCAAAGTATTTTGTCTTTCTAGACTGGAATATCCATTGGAAGGTCCCACAACACGTCTCTGTGATCAGTTGCCAGGGGTCATCTTTTCCTGCAGCAACTTTTTTGCCAGTTCACTCCCTGGCGTGACAAACCACCCCAATCCTGGAGGTGACAAAGGAGAAGTAAGCAGTCTGTCCTCAGGTGTTGGGCTGAAAAAAGGAGGTTGATCTGACTGTGAGAGCTGGTCGCTTCCAGTTTGAAACCCAAGGGGGAAAACAAATTCCTTTGCACCTAAATAGGCTTTTTTTCTTTACACTCATCCAAGATTGGCTGCGTATCTACCTCGCGTAAAGCCACTGGAGTATCTTTCCGTCCTCAGCGTAGGTAGGAGGGGAGGTGTTGACTGACTGGAAGACATGATGAACAAACAAGCAGGGGTGCACACCCCATCAGCCTCAGTTTGGAGTGGGGCTTCAAAGAGAGTATTGGGTTCAACTTGGGGTGTTGTCAAGTGCATAGTAGCTTTCTTGGTGCCTCTTCGTTTCAGGCAGGCACAGTCAGAAATGGAAGAGCAAGGGCCAAGTTTGCTCCGAGGTTGTTTGGGATACTGAAGAGATTAGAAAAGACTGAGATGCCAGAAATGCCAGACATAAATGAACAATATAGAGTAACTGTAAGACAGGAGGATTCACCCACAGCACCTTAATGATTCATTGGCCCTTCCCCACCTCTCTTGCACCTCCATACATGAATACGCATGTGCACACAGGCTGTGATATGAGTAACACTAAGACCAACAATGCGGTTCCTGAGTCCTATGTGTTGTTCAGGCGAGCCTTAAAATCTCTGTGCAGGAAAGAGTGTGGGTTTAAGCAGAGACAGGATGGAGAGGAGAGGCGGGGAGAAAAGCTAGGATGCAGCTGTGGGAATCAGCAGGGAAGCAAGCGTAGGTTGGTCTTCCAACGGGGTTCAAGATTCATGCATGTGTGAATCTTAGGCAGGACTGCTGCACGACGCTGATCGCAAGGAAGCCAGCCGTGCCATCCTCCCTACTACTCCTCCCATAACATGTTCACCAAGGCTGAGCAACCACCTTTCACCCGCAGCAGGTGACAAAGTGTTGGCCATTGCGGCCTGTTGGAAACACTTGCTAACTCCCTGGAGCAGTTTGGGGAGGGGAAGGAAAGGACGGTCTCTCTCATCGTACAGTCCAGGGTGCGCACAACGAAACCCACCACGGACCAGTCACTCCATGTCTAGAATCCTCCTCATCTAGAAGGCCAATAAGGTGTCGCAAGCCAGTCGCGTGGCCTGCGTGAAATTGGTAAAGGGCGAAAGGACGAAAAACCTTCCTCTAGGCGGGTGAGCCAGCGATAGCCGGGGTCAAGAAAGGCACTTCTGTATACTCAGTGGGTTCTGGTGGCTGGATGGCACTGAGTGACCTCGGAGTTCGGAGGCTCTTCTGCCTGTGCTGATTCTTCGGAGCCTTTCCGTCGCTGCTTCGGTCACCGTTCCCCATTCCCTACGGTCTGGAGAGAGTCGTATACACGGGCTGTTCCCAATGTGTGGGGCTGTGGGACTGTGGCACAGAGGGTGCAGGGTCAGAGATGGCAGTGTAAAGGGGACGTTGGGAAGGTCCCATATAGGAGAAGGCAGAGTAGAGGCCGGAGGCTTGGGTGGAATGGCTGTAGTAGGGTCCCGAGGGCTGGTGGTCCGGGTAGTCAAACTGCGGCCTGGAGATGGAGGGGAAGGCCGAACCGTAGTGGGGCAGACTCAGGGACGTGTACGCTATCTGGGAGGTGGAGGGCTGGTCGGTGTAATGACCTCCAGGGGCGGACCCCTCCGTTTTCACCTGGGCCTTGGAGTCTACCACCGATGAGGTGGCAGTGGACAAGGAGACTCCATGCTGCTTGGAGATCCAGGCAGAGTGTCCGCTGGCCGCAGCCAGGGCGCTCCCGAGGCCGTAGCCAGCAGCTGCCGCTGCCGCGTAGCCCCCAACATGGCCTGGGTGGCCGGCGTGTCCGTTGGGCGGCAGGTATTGGTCGAATTCATTGACGTCAAAGGTCTCCATGTTGGACATCACTTCGTGGCTGATCTCCCCGATGTCCACGTTGCCAAAGTCAATGTGTGGCTTTCCCCCTTCCCCCAAGGAACGCCCTTCTCGCTTGGAGTCGGCTTTGCCTGCCTGCAGCTCCGTCTTAGGGGTGGTAGGAGGTGTGGGGGGCCCGTGGCTCTGACCTGCAACGTGAAAAACATTTTGAGGAGGAAAAAGAGAGAAGAAGTGAGTTAATGCTTTATGCCTGGCTTTACACAGCCCAGCTCTGCTCCTCCCAGTATGCCAGCAGCTGTTTGGCTGGAGACTTCAGTGGAGGGAGAGAGAAATAGCCAGCCAAAACCAAACCTTTTTATATCATCTTGTGGTAAAAGAGGGAGGGTGCAACAATACCTTGCCTGACCAGAGGAATGCAAGTGCCCGTGAAACTCGGGCATGTCCTTACACTGCTGGCTCCAGCAGAGTTGGGTCACAGGCAAGGTGTGAGCCACATCGCTAAGGCTTTCACCGTGATGACTTGTCTTTTTTGAGCCTCCGAGTTGGCTGTAACCTGTCAGTAGGTTCACGGAGACCTGGCACTCACCTGAGGAGTGTTCCGGATGACCGTCAGACATGGGCGACCCTTCGCCGGGATGCCTGTGATCCAGGTGGGCATTCTTGTAGTGGGCTTGGATGGCGGCAGCCCCGCCAGCCTCCCCCTCCACCTGGCCTTCGCCCTCGCCCTGCGTGGCCTTGCCGTTTTTCCGCCGGCGGGGCTGGTACTTGTAATCGGGATGGTCCTTCTTGTGCTGCATCCTCAGCCTCTCCGCCTCTTCGATAAAGGGCCGCTTGTCGCTTTCGTTCAACAGCCTGCAGAGGCCAAGGTGGTAAAGGAGAGAAGAGGGGAAGGAGAAGGGCAGGTATGTCAGAAAAAAACCACCTATACACAGCATCGTGGGACACAGCATGTAAATCCAGATGTCAGGGTGTTGTCCCATTGAGGGTATTTCCCAGAACAACAGGGAGAGCTTGGAAGTGTTTCAGTGGAGACAGCAATGTTTTCCTCCTCCTCATTAATTATTAAGCCCTGACATTGTTTAGTGCCAGCGCTGGGTCCCCCTTCCCTGGCTGTGTGATGTGTCTCACCTCAGTAAGTTCAACGCTCTCTTACATTGTCCAAAGGCAAAGCACAGTCTTTCATAGCCGTGTAAAATAAGGCTGGACAAGCTGCTTTCAAAGACTTTGGGCAGATTGAGGGCAGTTGGGATCATCCTTCAGACTAAAGCAGTGTGGCACACCCTTGCTACCTGTAGTGCTGCCTCCCACATGTCTCTTGCTCTTCCCCAGACTGTATTTATTCCAGTTTAACCTCCCACCCTTCCACAGGCTCTGCTCCAGGTTTGGAGCTCTATTGAGCACAAGTGTCAGCAATTGGTGTTGGCTCCACAGTACCCATGTTGCTGCGTGGAGTTTGCATCTTACAATATCCTAGAAGGGAATTAAAGAAAATTTGGAACAGGGGGAAGCAGTGTATTCTGCTGTTCCTGGGGCTCCTGCTCACCTTAGACATGGATAATGCAAAAGGCTGAAGCACAAAGGACCAGCCCTTCTTGAACTTAGCCAAGCAGTTGTAAAAAATTTAGCTGCTACATTGCTAGCCTTGTAGAAATAGATGAGCTTTGGTCTCTGGATGAAAGGCACTGCAGAAGTGTAAGCTCCTTCTCTGTATTCCTGCCAGATCATGGGCTGCTCTAGTTAAGATAGGCTCTCTGAGGAAATGGTGCAGTGTGCGGGCAGGATGGCTCAGAGCATCTGAAGATGAGATCAGCCTCATTACTCAAGCCTTTAGCAGCATCTCGGCTGGAAGCACTTCAGTTTCATTTTATGATTTTTCCCCTCAAATATTCTTGTGACTCACAGTCATCCTGCTTCCAACCAGAAACCAGTGGTCTCAGAAGGGACCAGTCTTTGCATGACTTGCAACTCCAGCAGCCGTTAGGAATGGCAGGGCTCCCAAAGGGCAAAAAATACTCCATTTATGAGACGTCCATGACTTCTTCTCCCCAACAAAAGAACTACCTAGCGATGAGGCTGTGCCAGCACCTTGGTACCTCCGAATCCCTTAGCTCTAAAATGCTAGGCTGTTAGGCTGTTAAGCGGTAGGCACTGAGGAAGATACAAAGGCCTGAACTGGCCTGAAAAACTGAAGATGAAGAGAAGGCACGGCTCAAAGAGCACACAGATAAATCTGCTGGGGATCAAAGGGGTTGCCAGCAAGTAACAGGTCAGTTCCTAAGCACCCCTTTTACCCCTGCTCCTTGTGCATCCCCTCGGCTGGCAGCCAGAAGGTGTATGGCACGGGCTGGAGCCTGTTACGGTGCTGACCTGGGTTCACTCCAGGCAGCCCGAGCAGGTCGCGGCCGCACACCACATTCCTCCACTGCCTTAATCCCGGAGATTAAAGCAACTGAGCCACTGTGAATCCAACACCAGCTTTCCTGTCTCCCTCCCACCACCGTACACCATGCTCACACATCCTGGAGGGGTCTAATCCCTCAGCCTGTGCTGCTCCACATGGACTTCCAAGGGGTCCAAAGGGATGGCATGGCTAACCCTTGTAGGCATCGTGGACTGGGAGGCGACCTTGCCTTGGCAAAACCTTCATCCTTGCAAAACGCCCCATCTCCACAGGAGATGGAGAGTAGAGGCAAAACCTGCAGCCTTGCAACCCAGGGCACTTCACTACAAGGCAGCCAGGCTCCGGCGTCCCTGCACTCCCAGCCCAGATGGTGCTAAAGTTAATAAGATGCTGCGGTTGGGAATGAAAGGTCTCTTTCTATGTGGGCCCCTCAGCCTCCCAGATCCATCTCGTGGATGGCGTGAACCAGAGCCACTCAAGGCTATGCAGGGGTCAGATCCCTGCCCTCTGAGCTATGCCTGAGTGCCTCACCTCCTCTCCCCTTGACAGCAGCCCATGGGCAGTGCCACCAGCAGGACAGCAGCAAGTCCACTCCCCGCGTCTTTGCCTTCTCCTTTCCAAAGCTGCCTGCTCCCTCCTCCCTCCCGCTGGGATCAGAGCTCAAATCGGCTTTAGCAAAGTGAAACTGGTGCGAGCAGGCAAAGGCCAGGAGATTTGGGGGGATTTGGATTTCACTTGCTTCCTGCCCTCCCCCTCCTGCCCCCCCACACTCCCCAGGCCATAATGCAAAGGAATCTTGCACGGGCAGAGAAGTTATGGATCACAGAGCAAAGCCCTTCATGGGGCTTAACCGAGCCCTCGCCACCCTCCCCGACACCGAATGCTCACCCCCCGAGCCAGGGGAGAGGGGCAAGCACCCAGCGCTCCGCTCCGGGGGGGGGGAGAAAGAAGGGCTAAAATCTTCCTGCTCGCCTCTTGCAGCCTCCCCTGCTGTCGCTTGGCATTGCACCGCGCTGCGTGCTGGGCGACTGGGTCGGCGGCCAGAGGCCTGATCCTGTGCCGGGACTCAGCTGCCGATGAGTCAGTGCGGTGATAGGGTTGGGCATCGGGGCTGATGCAAGGCAAGGGAGCAGAAAGCTGCCAGGCGAGCTCTGCTACATGTCCACGGTCCCGGATTTTGTGGGCATGACCCTATTCCCTGGGTGCTGCCACCCCCATGCAAAGATCCATCCGTCGGGTCCCCTCGCTCCTCCCTGCCGAGCCTTCCTCCCCTTCTTCCCATGCCTCGCTTGTTTTTGACCCCGGAGGTGGTGCTGGCTGGCATTTTGGCTGAGAGTCATGCCGACATTTTCAGCAGCTGGCCTCCATTTGAGAGCTGCTCCCTGTCCCACCCCATGGCAAGAAAGCAGCCAAGGTGCGATTTCATGACCGTCAAACACAGAAACACTCCATTCCTCCTTTCCAGTACATTCGGTTCATCGACTGCACCCTAAGTGGGTACAGACGGAGGGAGGTGGATGGGGCCATAAGCCCCCCTCAGCACCGTACTTGGGGCCAGGCGGGTAGTGTGGCCATCGGGGCATGTCCTGCAGCCCTTCCCAACGAGCGCTGGGACCCATGGAGGACATGGTGGTAGCACAGAGCCGGAGCAACCACCAGGCTTAAAAAAAAAAAAGCCCAGGCCATTGCAGCCCACTTTTGCAAAGGAGCATGTGGGACGGCACTGGGGTTATTGTTGAATCTGCTAGATGCCTTTCAAGATTTCCCAGCCTCTGCCGTCCCCACCCAGCGCCAATCGCTGGGGACGTGTTTGGTTTAATGGTGGTCTGCAGGCAGTCTCCGTGCTCACCAGCACTCGTCTCTCTCTGCCTGACGTGCCCTTTACCTGTACAAGCTCAGAGCAGCCCATGTGGAAACAAAAGTCACCCACATTTTCCAAAGCGACTAGCGATGTAGGCTGTAGCGTTTGGGTGGCCACCTTGTAAGGGTGCAGATACGCAAATGGCCAGGGCCCTTTGTAGGGACCCTCGTCAAATATTTGAGACTAAGCCATCCAGAGCAAAACCCGACTGCTCGCAGTTGTACCGACATGTAGGAGCTGTACCTTGGGGACGGCTTAGATGGGGGCAGTAGGAAACTCAGTGGAGGAAGACCCAACCGTACAGTGGCTGGAAGGGGAGGCTCAGGCTACTATCCTGCTAACCTTTGGGCCACCTCCCCTGGAGTTTTGTGGGCTGATATTTCCCCCCCCCCAGCCTCACAAAAAGACACACATGTGGTCCTACCCAGGCCAGACACCGACTGCACCCCTAACCCAGCTTACTCTGCTGTACAGTCCCTGTAGGGGCTGACACGGCTTGGAGAGCCGCAGCCTGCACTAGGGACACTCGGAGAGATGTGTTCAAGCAAAGAAGCTGGGTGGCAAACCCAGCAGCACGCAACAACCCCAGGCCTGATCCTGTGAGCTTCTCTGGTGACCCATTCTCCCTGGCTGCACGGTGCCCATCGTCCAGCGGCAGCATCCCCCCACTCCGAGTCCCATGCGGCCAACGGCGGGAGCCGTGCCTTGGGAGCAGGGAGACACTCGGATGCGTGAATGTGGCCACGGGGCTGTATCTCCCTGTGCTCTGAATGTGGTAAGTATGGAGGGTTTCCCTGCTCTGCTGTATTTTCAAGGAAAATGCAGTGTCTGGAGGGAGACCGTTGCTTTAAAATCTGGCAATATTTTGCAATAAAGGAACGATACCTTGAAATAACACTTTGGGAACAAAAAAGGTGGGTTTCCCCCACATGCGCACCCCTTCCAGCACAGCTTTACAATCCAGAGGCTGGCAGCAGAGTCCCAGGGGGGAGCAAGTGCTGTGGTAAAGGGAAGGGATGGCAGCGGGGAACAAAGCAGGAAAGAGCATCAGGTGAGACATCCACAATCACGCCCTGCCTTCACCTTCCCAGAGAAATCTCTTTGCTGGGGTTACACTGGACACTGATGGGTCGGGGTAGATGGGCTGACATAGCAGAGGGAGAAGCTAGTGCCTAAGGGCTCGGTTCCTTGCGAGCAAGGAGGTTTGAAGCCAGGAGGAGACCTCGGCATCAGCTGCTGGACGGGATGTGTTTTGCTTCTGCTTGGAAAAATGTTTCTTGGCCCACCCAAGGTTGAGGGCTTCCTCCACGAAATGCCGTTAGGGCAGGAGAGAGAAAGAGAGGGCCCGTTTGCATGAGCCTTGCTTTGCGTTGGTTGGTGTAAAAGGTGAGTGGGGGGACGGTGCTGGGGACTTGTGGCAGAAAGTGTTTGTAACAGGTTGATGGGGTTATCGGCAGAGACCGTCAGATGGGAAAGAAGTGGCACGGCCAGCCTGACACAGCTGGCTCAGGCACTTTCTGCGCACCCACAGGCTGGCTGCGATTAACTGGGGCAGCATGTCGGTCTGCCAGAGGAAGGAGGAGCGGGTTGGGGAAGGTACGTAAAGGACCCAGGGATCTGCACAAAGCCAAAATGAAAATGGTTGCAACAAACTGGTGGGGCCAGAAGGACGAGCGTGTGTGTGCTGGCGAGAAGGGAGGCTATCTCTCTGGGTGCAAAAAGAGTTGGGGCTGGTTTGAGCCAGCATGTTGCAAGAGAGCTTGCTAAGGCTGGGACTGTTGCAGGTCTCGTCCTTTCTGCTAAGCCTCAGCCCCCCTTTCTAGCAGGGGCTCTCCTTGTCCATCTCGCTGCACCTGCATGGCCTGCCAAAACTGGGACCGTCCTGGGAAGGATGGGTGCGGGGCTCTGGCCGCCTGGGTCCCTTCCCCTGACCTTCCTCCTCGGCCGTAACTTGGTTTCCCGCTTGCTCTGCGGCACTGTGCGGAAAATAACCCATGTTGGCATTGGGACCTGAGTTCAAACAGGCTTGAAGCACCCACCAGTGAGTTAAGCTGGATGGGGCTCAGCCCAGTTCCTGCTAGTGCACATCTTGGCCCAACAGAGAGGGTGAGCCAATAAAACAAGATCTCCCCTGGCAGTCAGGCAGGTGAGGACCAGGACGAGAGTGTCCCGGTCGGGAACAACAGAGGAAGTTAATGGGAAACGTAGAAAGGGCTGCCGCCCAGGATGGAGGCGAGCTCTGCTGCGGAAGCCCTTCACTACGTCCGACCACCGCTCTTGCCCCAGTCACTGACTGTGCCTCCTGCGAGGGGGCTCCCCACGGGGAAGAAAGTCCCCTCGAGGGACACCCCTTCCATCCCGCTAAGTCTCCATCCTTCCACGTGACCACACAGTCCTCTCCAGGACACCTCTGGACCTCAGCCCTCGTGCTCCCCCTCCGCCTGCCCGCTCTTACCTCCAGAGCTTCCCCAAGGTCTTACTGAGCTCAGCGTTGTGGAGGTGTGGGTACTGGTCAGCCAATTTCCTCCGGGCAGCCTGTGCCCAGACCATGAAGGCGTTCATGGGCCGCTTGACGTGGGGTTTGCTCTTGTTACTTCCATTGACCCGGACGGGCATGGGTACCAGGGTCCAGTCGTAGCCACTCAGCACCTGGCTGACGGCCTCACGGATGCACACCGGGAACTTGTCGTCGTCAGCCTCCGAGTCTTGCTGTTCCTTCTTGACCTTCCCCATCTCCCCATTCCCGGAGCCGGTGAGGTGCGGGGAGTTGTCCGATGCCATAGAGGGTCCTGGCGAGAGGCAGTGGTGGTCTTCAGAGCCCACCGGGCTCATCTCCACCTCCGAAAGGTCTTGGTCGTCAGCCATTGTTGCTCTTGAGCCCTCTCTCTCTTCCTTCTTGGTGTCCTTCTTCTCACTGGGGAGGGGAGGGAGGAGAGAAAAACAAAGGAAAGAAAGGAAAGAGAGGGGGAAAAGAGAGAAAAGGAGAAGCAACCACCAAATCTGAAAGGGACTCCAAGGTTTCTGAAGAGCTGACCACGAGACAGGGGCCGCTCAATAAAAGCGCAAGCAAAGCAATTGCCATGCACACCACAAAACCCGTGATCGATGGGGGTGGGGATGGGTCGGGGCCCCTGATTAATTGAGATATCACTCCCTATCTCTGCCGTCGTCTGGAGCTGATGTGTGGAGGGGCCTACGGCAAGAGGGATAAGGGGGGTTGGGGACCTGAAAGGAGAGTGACATGGACCGTCCTGCCCGGGCGCAGCTCCCCAAAGGGAGCGGGATGGGGGGGATGGCCCCAAAACTTGGGTGGGGAAGTGCGCCTTTCTTTCGAAGACATGCGGTGAAATGCCAGCGCGGTGCTCAGGGGGAGGCGTGCGAGGGGGTGCGCTGGCACCATATCGATAAACCAGAAGAGATCTCTATCCCGGTTACTGGGGGAAGCTGAGCAGACGGCACCACCGGGCAGGGAACCAGCCCAGGGCCCTGGACCTGCACCCAGAGACCCCGATCCCGGCTGTGGGAAAGTGCCTCTGTGGGGACACCCCATCCCTCACCCTCCTCTCGCTGCTCGTAAACCAAAGACTTAAAATACATCCGCATTGCATCCCCAAACACACGCCTGTCTACGTATGCATGTACATATTCACATTCACACACACACATATATATATATATACACACAGATACAAACACAGACCAAGTTTAACTTTGAGACAAGCCAAGGCTTTGGGTTGCCTGCCCCACACACTCCTCCTCTGTCCTTCTGCCTGCAGTCACCTCTAAAAGTCCCTGCCACCATGCAGCAGTTCCCCCCTTGGAGAAAGAAACACTCTAAAAATAAAGGCCTCTCTATCCCCCCCATCCAGAAATAAAAAAAAAAAAAAAGAAGAAAGAAATTTAAAGAGAAAAAAAAGAAGTGATAGAAAAGCATGCCTCTGACTTAGCTGAAAAACAGCCAGCGCAGACCAAGGGCTGCTATCCCTCCAGTTTCAGAGGGTGACACAGACCCTTGCTGGGGAAATCGCAAAAAAAGTAAGAGAAAGTAAAGGGGGAAAAAAAAGCATGTGCACAGGCGAGCGAGCTCAGGTAGGAAAAACTTACGTTGCTGGCCGGTGTGCTGAGCGGATCCTGCGAGGGCTGCGATTTGTATCCCAATAGCCCCCCTGTTCTCCCTCCCAGCCCCGGCAGCGTCGGGGCGCACGGCACGGGGAGGCTCTCAGGCAAGTGCCATTCCTAGAGGGAGGCTTGGTTTTTACTAATACCCCAGCTGGATGTCTCTAGCTGGCTTTGCTGCTTAGCACCGGGGGAGGGAAGGGCGGAAGGTGGAGCCAAGCAGTCCTCAGAGCCAGAATACGGTTGGGGGACGGCGGGGAGGGGACGCGGGCAGCCCCCCACCCCACCTCAGCTGCCGGCACGTTCCCCGCTTTCCCCCGATGCCGGCTTCTTCACGAGAGCCGCCGGCGTTGGGCTGGTCTCGGCGGCGTGGCCGCCCCAGAGATGGTGCTGGAGGATTCAACCCTGGGGGGATTTGCGGTCTGGGGGGGTTTGGGTAGATAGGTGTTCACCCCTGGACTGGGATCCCCCTTCTTTCCCCTGCTAGCACGGTTGCTCCTGTGGGGTCTGGTGCTCCCCATGTGCCAAATGAGTCCCCAGTCCCTGTCACAGAATCTCATGGGGATCCCACTGTGCAACAAGTTGGCCCAGGACCCCGGGGTCAAGACGTTGCCAAAAGGGCATCCTAATTCAGATCTGAGTCTGTCGGGTGGGGAAAGGGATGCAGGAGGTCAGGGGTGTCCCAAGGATGGAGGACATCAGGTCCAGGGAAAATACTGTGCTTCTGGACAGTGGATCCCAGTTTGAACCTTCTTAGGACTTTTGCACCCTCGGGATGGGCTCGTCACAACACGTCCATCTCTGTGGGGTCTTGCCAAGACAAGCAGGCTCTGCTTCCTCCGACGTGCTGAATTGCTCCTGAAGGCAAATGTGGGGTCTTTCACGAGGAAAGGGAGGTCTCCTGATGAGAAGGACTCGCTCACCCTCATTCTTGCTGCTCGTGCACTGGGACATGTAGAGGATCTCAGCACTCAATGGGTTAGGATGTTCTTCACCACATCTTCCATTTTCTAGCTCGCTTTCCTTCCCAGATGCCTCTGGTAGTTGGCTTCTTCAGTTTCCTTTGTCACTGGGGCTGGTATAGCCCAATACCAACCTTGTAACCATGAGAGGTCACCCACGAAAAATCTGATGACCTTCCCAGGTCCTCCTGAGTTAGCAATGAGGTAAACCTAGGTCCTGCCCCAGCTCCTCCCTGGAGAGCCAACCTGAAGACGCTTCAGTGCTAAGTCAGAAAATAGAAAGAGATGAGTGAGTGGATGTGACCCAGAGAACCAGCTTCAAGGGATTTCGGGAACATTTTCAACTCCTGTAGCAGACATTCACTCTCCAGAAACTTTGTGTTAGAAAGGCCCAGCAAAAACCACTGGCTGGCACCACATGAAGCATAAGGGAACCAGTGCCAAGGATGGTGCTGAGCACCTGAGCTAAAGCCCTCAGGGCAAACCTGTGGGACTGGCTGCTGCTCTTGCAGACCTGGCTGACAGCACAGGGCCATTTTCCTGCATGTCTGCCGTTGTCTGGAGTAAGTAAAGCTCTCAAACCATATGGTGGCTGCAGGGAAATCCTCACTAGAGCCCAGTGAGAAGTCTTTACTGAGCAGAGCTGGGAGGGAGAATGGCTGCATGCCATTGGCATCAAGCAGGCAGAGGTGCTTAAAGGTGCCTCTTGCATCCCTCAGAAAAAAAATCCCAAGGGTTTATCTCCTACCTTTCTTCTCTTCAGCATTACCTACTACAGAAAAAAGATGGGCTCAGATACTCTTCTTCATGTGATGCCTTTTTCTCTTTGCAAGAGAGAAATGTGGGTGCCTTTTGCTTGGATGCTGAGAAAACCCAATGGAGAGCCTAGCAAAACAGCACTGAGGCCCTGCCTCCTTGACCAAAGCAGCAGCTGGTGAACCTCAAGTCTTGAAGTATGGGATTAATTCTCTTACTAAGACAGACCTCGGCTGTGGTTGTTGCGAGAAGGGATCTCGCAGCACGGACAGGGGCAGTTTGGCAGCTCACCCTCTGTCTGCGAGAACAAACGGGGCACGGTCGCTTCATACAAAATTGTCCATGGCCCACTGGATGAAGAGCCAATGATGCTGCAGAGCTCATGGCATCTTCCTCCAGCCAGCAAGGGTCTTCCTCATGCTGCAGGGACCCTGCATATGAGGTGTGGGACAATTGGAGGGAGGGTTGGTCTGGCCCACAGAGAGATGGCCACTGCTGAGAAACACTGTCCTGCTTGTTCCTCTGGCTGCAACCAGGGGCAGGGAGGAATAATGCCACAAAAAATGGTCAGAAAAGGGTGTTTATTTGCCCTCCCTTCAGGTGACAGGTTCCTGTGGACCCCATGGGAAAGAGATGACAGGGCAGGGATTTCTCATTCCCTCTGGAGTGGGGATACAGGGTGCTGGGCACTAAGTGGTAGGGAGTGAGAGGCTGGGGGTCTTCCTAGTGCTTTGATGGAAAGATCCCAAACCAGGAGACAAAGGAACCCCACAGGGCACTGGAGGAACTTCACAGCCTGCTCAGCTCATACCCCAAATGCAGTGGCCTCTTGGCAAGCTTCGCGGGGAGAACGAGACGGTACTTGACTCCGGCAGGACAGGGAGTGGTGGGGCTCACATCTTCCTGCATGCCCAGGGTCTGGGTGAGCAGAAGAGTGTCTGACCCACCACTCCAAACCAGGGCAAGAAAAGGATCAAGCCCAGAAGGGATTTCAGTAACCCACAGGGCTCTGGACCCGTGTTTGTCCCACTGCTCACCATCCCTGTCAGGGGCTGCTGCCACCTGCCAGACAGGAGCCGGGTCCCATTTGTGCCTTGTTGGAAGAGCTGTGGGTGCCTCAGCTGAAGACCGGGACATCCTCAAAGGAGTGTGTACTGGCCACACAGTCTCTGCAATCTGCAGTCTCAGCATCTCCTCACATTTCAATGGCAGGGAAGGGTTTTTTCCCTTCATTCTGCCTTTCTCCAGTTCCTGCTTTTTGTCTCCTTTGGTCCTGCCTCCTCTTTCTGAACTCTTTTTCCCTGTAGTGCCTTTTCCCCTGTTTCCACCCAGCTCTCACAGCACTGACTGCTCGTATATCCTTTTCCAAGTCTCTTCTGTTCATGTGTCGTCTCTTCTCTTGTGCTACAAAGAGGCAGATGCAGGAGAAAGTGCTGTGGAAAATATACCTCTACTGCAGCAGGGATAGGCGTGATGCTTTCTCTTCAGTCGAGGTGAGAAGACAGGCAGAGGGGAAGGAGGAGAGACTGTCCCTGTTTCAGGAGTCACTGGGGTGGCATATCTCTTCCTCCAATGTCCCCTGGGAGCACTCTTTAGGGACACGGACCCTCCAAGAGCCACCACTGGCCACAGCAGCTAACATTGCAGAAGTGGTGTTTCCAAATGCAAGTCTTCCTAATGACTGGCTCCTGGGGAAATGCTCTTATAGCAGGTTTTCACCCCTTCTTTTCAGCATATATTTCTATGGATGGGGTGCCCAGGTCCATAAAAAGGGACGGTCCTTTGCAGATGAAGGACCAACCAGTGAAGGTGGTTCATGAGCCAGAGACCTTGCTAAGCCACAAATTTCTTGTGACACATCAGTGAAATGCTTTCTTCGGGCCTCAGTCCTCAATATGCAAAGGTGGAAGGATGCCACCTCTCCACCATACAGCCATGTTGGGTGGGCAATGTGTAAAAGTGGGTGGGAAGTGGAGATGTCCCACCAGGCTAGGTGCCCCTGCAATCCACATTGGTCCCAAGGGTGATGGG